ATTTTAATAAATAATTAATATTAATTATTTATTTTATTAATTGTTAAATATTTTTAATAGCTAAAATCATTACAATTACCTGGCTTGGGTTGGGGCGCTTTAAATGAGAAGATCTCCTACTCATTTCTTAGCTCTTTTTTTACTGTCTCTGCTTTGTTTTTATTCTCCTTCAAGAGTGAAAAGCAATATTCTTGGATTGCTATACCAGTAAGCACCTCTTTATAGGGTTAATTTGCTCAACTTCTGAGCGAAGCAAGATGTCTGTTTTTCTTGCAGAACAGAAAACTCCCATAGAAATCACTGTTCTTTTTGCTTTCATATTTCACATCTAGTACCTGAAACTGTCGATCAATCAACACAACCATACAATAATACAACTACTTTTGCATATGGCTCAGCAGGTATTGCTTGTCTTCTCCCTCTTTCTCTTACATTTTCTCTCATGGGTTGTCTCCTAGATTTTATTCCCATTATATTTCTCTGAGAAAATGCCCACCGTCTGTTTGTCATGTTGCCTCTGTTTTTTTCACTACCAGAGTTCACTTGCTTGGTTTCTTGTACTGTGATGTTGATTGTTGAGCGGTTCCTGAAATCTGGAATTTTTGCTTTTATCAATCTGACTGTAGGAAGAGGGTTGGCCCCTGGGTTTGCATCCTGTGAATGTCAGGGTCGCGTTGGCCAGAAACCTCCATTATTCAGGATCAATATCTTTCAACACTACACTCACTGCTTCTCCATCTTGCTCTACAGATTCCTCATCTGATTTGGACACAGAGGTTAGTAGAAAGGAACCGAATTTTCATATGAAAGGAAAATTAAGAAAGTGTCATATATAATGTCACATTATTAAGAAAGCTGTCCTCTCTATACAAGTACACTTGGAAGTTGAGATTTTGCTGGAGAATTTTTGATATATTAATTGATTTAAATATTCTTTTCTGCCTATGTGACCTTGTGTAATAATAAATGGCTTAATGTGCATTTAACACCACATTTATGATGCTTTTTGGGGCAGAACTGAAATTCACTAATGACACCCCCTTTTCTGCTACTCTGTTGGAATGGAATGAATGATTATGTCTATGTAGCCTAGTCATTACACCACAGAAGAATGCAACTTTTAGGGTTTTTGTTCATTGGTGGTTTTCCTTTTAAAGTTCACTATTCAATTCAAGTGGCTAAAACACCTGAAAATGTTCCTTGATGAGGTCTCAGGTGGACTTGATTTGTATGGACTGTGCTAATGTTTAAAGAGATTTCAAAGTTTTAGAAAGGCTTTTAGCTTATAACTTATCTTATAACATACTTAAATCCCTTTTTGCTTAGAATGGTGTCATGTGTCTCAAGTAGCGGTATCAGTAACATGCTCTCTTGAGGATAAGGGTTCATGATTTTGAGCTATAAAATCTTGTCATCTCAGGAGTCTCAATTTAAGTTCGCAAAAAGTTCCATTTTCAAATTTCCCAAGTTCATTACATTTCAAACAAAATGAAGGAAAAACATGAAGAAGAAGAAGAAGAAGAAGCAAGACTTTAATAGTTGCCTCACTTTACTGTAAAGCAGGAATCTCAGTCCTGTTTGTTTCTAACATTCTGTACTCATTCAGCTTAAGGAGCAAATGCATATCTTAATTTACCATACTTGATTTCAGTCTACAGGGTCTTTCTTCCATGACACAAGCATTACACTTGGGAGCCTTATAGGTGTTTCTAGCATTTTAGAGCTCTCTAGGAGATCAATAAGAGGAAGAAAAGCAGAATTATCAAAGGAGAAAAAGGCCACTAATACCACCAACAAATCAAAATTCTGGCTTTTCTCTCTATGTTCAAGGGACAGTGCAGATGCCGAGTGCATGGATATGAACAACAACCCTCCATCACTAGGCCACTTCCTTGCCGTGGAGAGAAGAGTTTCCAGTGAATGCGGAAGGACCCATGTCTCTAGTCCTACAATTTTTGGACCTGATGTGCTTGCCTTGGGCCAGCCAGATACTGAACCCAACTCACTGTTTATCAATGGCTGTGTTGCTCCTCCTCAATCAGCTTCCTGCCATGCTGCAGATTCAGACAGCAGAATGAACAACACAACAGGGTTGAAGAAAGTTCTTGTTCTGTTTCCGTGCATGTGTGCACAGCCCTCCCATTAGGCATCCTGCATATGCTTAAATGTTTCATCTTTTTTATTCTCAAATTTCTGATTGAATTTCTTGTTCTAGGATTAGATTTCTTTCTTCTGTAAACTCTCTCTCAGAAATGAATATCCCTTAATGTAAATTATTGAGTTCTTTCTTTAGAGAGTTTTTATCAGTTTATCCGAGTATGAGGAGCCATATAACATTAAAATGCTATCCCTTCACTCATTTTTAAGTTTAAATTCTAATAGACCAAATCTTATATTTGTATCATACACATTATTTTTTTTTGTAGTCAATACTTTTTAAAATTTTTATTCATGGTTAGCATTTTTTATAATTTAAAATCCATAAAAATAAAACTTAAAATTTAACGGTTAAATATCTTATTTGCAACTTGATTTTATTTGTAATTTAAATTTTTTTTATAAATTTTAAATTGTAAAAAATGTTAATCGAAAATAAAAATAATAAAGACTATTGATTGTTGAAAAAAATAATATATATAGTATAGCATTTCCTCATGTAGTTGTAGTGACAGTTACGTTTCTTCAAAGTGAGAAGTAGGTGGAACGTATTTCAATTCGCAGGTCAAGTTTCAGACTCAATTTTTTCTTAAACAGATATCAACTTAACATTGTATTTTTTTTATCAAAAAAAATATATATATATAGTGTAAAATTGGAAATTTGACCGTTCTAATCTGGAAGAGCTGGTCCTCAAAGTGGTGGCTGTGCACACCACAAGAGACTCTTCTTTTTCATGGTTTAAAATTAAATTGTCTAAAGAAGCCAAGACTTATAATCCCAAGTTTGAAAATTAATCAAAGAAGATAATTTTTTTTTAAAGATACTTTTGTCTGTGATTTCAAAGTTCCAGTCACAGGAAACAGCCATAGGCTTGTGAATGGCTGCTTCTTTTTCTTCTTACACGACAGCTTCCTAAATTCCTGTGACTTGCAGACCATTCAGCTTGAGTGCTTGGATTTATTTTTGGATAAGTTTCTACCAAAAGACCCCATGCCCATGACCTTGACCCTTTCTTCTCAATATTTTTTTTCTCTAAGATCAATAAATATTCGCTTTCGAGGTCACAATCTAATTCACATTGCCGGATATATTTGACTAGTGGTATTATAATTAATTAAATTATTTTTTAAGTTAGATCCTCCCATCTCTAAGTATTAGAAAGATTTTTTTTTTTTTGAATTTTAAAAGTAAAATATTAGAAATATTTTCATAATCAAACTTCATTACCAAGAAAAAAATAGTATAAATATATTTATACATAAAATTTAT